CCTTAGCAAAGCGCATCCCAGGCTGCATAGCCGCACTACCCTACCCAACCATACCACACATAAACATGACACTACCCCCGGGGTTTACACAGACGAGCCGGCGAAGCAAGAAGAGCGCCAGAAGAAAGGGCCCTAGCCGGCGGGGCCCAGCCAGGACAAAAGGAGGTCCCACAAAGCGCCTACACCGGCCGCATTTGCGGTCGGGGTAGACGACGGATGGGGCCCACCTACGAAGGCTGTCCAGGCCTACACGAGATGAGGCAGGATAAAGAGGGATAATCCCCCTCGATCCCAAATCATTGAGGCCAATTTCTAGCCATAGAATAATGGCGCGCGGGCGCGCACGAAATCAATTTTAAAAATCTTGTTGTGACTGGGAAAGAACTTTATTTCCACTATTCGGTCACATGAATAAAAAAATATAGATAGGCGTATTCGCTCAAATTGCCCGACACGAGTACCATGGAACGGCTTTCGTGTGGAATGACTTGTAAAATTTCTTTTAGTCTTAGAACAGCTTTAGCTGTTTACATTGACTCGTAATTCCTTACACAAGAAAACGCAAACTAACCATAGCTGTATTTGTTTTACCACTTGGTTAGTTCAGTTTGGGCAAGTTGACCAAATTAGAAGTGACCGTGATTTGAACAAACTCTAGGTTAAACAAAACATACATCTACTCCATTTTAAATTTTGACATTAGACGTTTGTTCAATTTCAGTTTAATTACGTTGTAATTGTCAGTCATACTGTGCCCAACATACTTACAATCAACATTTCTTCTTCGGATGAATCCATATCCATTATCAACGGCTTATTTTTGTTATTTAGATTTATGATTATTATTATTTGTAGGTTATGTTTTGTTCGGTTATCTTGTTCACTTACTAACCACGATATTAGGCTAGGTTAGATCGGAAAGGGGGGAACTGATTTTGGACATATTTTGGTTTGTTCACTTGTTAAAAAAAAACGAACTTGGTCAGAACTGTATTGAAAATGAATTAACCAAAGTGACCAAGTCTGTAAAACAAATACAGCTCATGTATGATCAGAATCACCAGGTCACATCAGATAGATAGCGTAGCTTTATAATATCAATGTATTCAACATTTGAACTATACTTCTCTAATCTAGGATTTGAACCACATCTTATTATTATGCTCTGTTCGAGTAGTTTAAATTTTAGAGTAGTTTGTAGTGAAGTTCTGTGTAAGTAGGTTGTTTTGCACTATTTTCTTGAAAATTCCTCTGTCAGTTTTTTTGACAATTTATTTTGAAAACGTGAGACAAATCTTGAATACTCATTTCAAGATTCAGCCGTAAAAAAATATAAAATTAATAGACACTGACACAGTTTGATAGCAAATGGCTGAGGATATCAAGGATCAAAACTGCGAGCTAAAGGTACGAACACAATTTTTTTTATTTCAGTATTTATTTATGTACGTATTTATATTTTAGGCTAAGTTACCAGCAAAGTATGACTGGTATCAGACGGAGCAAGCAGTAGTGGTCACAGTTTTAGTAAAAAATGTAAAAGAGGAATTTTTGAAAGTCAACATCAGTGAATCGATTGTTAGAATCGACATCACTTTACCAGATTTTGAGGCTTTTACTTTGTCTTTCAGCTTGTCCCGTAAAATCGTACCTGATCAGTCTAGCTACAAGTTGACGCCATCTAAGGTAAGAATTCTTAAAGATGGCCTTGTTAAAACTACTGACAGTGCTTTTTTAATTTTACTTCAACATTTTCAGGTAGAAATAAAATTGAAAAAACTTGAGGGTGTACAATGGGATAAATTAGAAGGAACTTCGGCTACTGAAGGAATTAAAACTATACCGAAAGGTGTACTTAACATCATATTTAATTGGTTAGTAATCGTTTCATATGTTCTTTTTTTGTAGATCCAATACCTCAACTTAGTGGACCACCATCTTACCCTACCTCGAAGAAGGGAAAAGACTGGTCTGCTGTTGAAAAGGAAATTAAGAAACAGGAAGAGCTGGAGAAACCAGAAGGAGAAGAGGCCATTAATAAACTCTTCCAAGAGATTTATGGCAAAGGCAGCGATGAAGTCAAAAGGGCGATGAATAAAAGTTATGTAAGTGTTGGTTTTCCTGAAATTTTTTGTAACTTATACATCATCTTAATTTTTAGATGGAAAGTGGAGGTACCGTTTTAAGTACAAACTGGGATGAGATTTCCAAGGAAAAAGTTCAGGTGAAGCCTCCAGATGGTATGGAATTCAAAAAATGGCATGAATAAACGCAATGATTTCGTCTCTCTTTCTACTCATAATTTATGAACATTTATCTTTTCCGTCTACTTAATAAAATACTTTTCAATAATTGTGCGTTTCTTATCATACCACAGTCAATTTACAATACATTTTAAAATAATTCATGATTCAATTTCAATATTTTGAAAGTTAGGTTATTTGTAAGTAGTTCTAACAAAGCGTAAATGTCAAGTGATGAAATAGTTCCAGTGAACTAAAATTAACCTATAAGAGTAAAGTTGATATTTTATTTCAGCCATAATTTATCTGTTAATGTAAGGAATATGTTGAAACATGCATTAAAATATGTATGTACTTTTCAACTAAGAAATGAATCCTTTATAAGTAGACACCTTTCAATCTATCGTAAACCACAACTTTTAAAACCTAACCTTCAAAATTTGAACGTGCAAAGGACTTTTTGCGTTTCCAAAGCTACTGCGGCAAAATTATTTTACGATTATGAAAATGCTTTTGCGTTTAGTGTAATTAACAAAGATGCAAACGATATACCAGTACCAGTTAGTCCACTCTATGAAATTACCACATTGGAAGAGTTTAATGAAGTTTTAAACCAAAACTGGAGACGCTCATCTTGTACAGAAATTGTTAACGCTCTTAAAAATGTAACAGGTTATTGTATAAGTAATGGAGTAAATATCTCAGATACTCGTTTCGATAAATTGGTTGATGGGTTAATGGATCACTGTGAAAAGTTGTCGGATACGGAACTTTTTGAATTACTTCAGTGCTTGTCAGAAATTCCTCCTTGTGATTCAGCTTCATCACATAATTTTCATGACGTGTGGAGTTGTTTAGATGATATTTGCTGTTGGAAGATGATTGAGTGGGATATAGAGAAAATGTTTAAATTTGCTAATATTTGGTACAAGTTAAACCTTGGTGAGTACTAATCAATTTAATTAAATATATACGATTATATTTAACAGTTTGTTTCTAGCTAAAATGGGGGATTACATTTTTGCGGTCATAGATAGATTAACCAAAAAGGCAGATAGACTGACGAAAGATCAGTTAGTTCATGTATTTTTTTATTTTAACGTCTGTCGAAAAAGAGCAGTTGATTTCGAATATGAATATGCGTTAGAGAAGAAAATAAATGAGATGAATGTTGATGAGGTAGCTGTAGTTGCAATGGGATATTTTAAAACGAAAACCAAAATTAAGCTAACTCCTATTATAGAAACAATGGTACGGAAAATTAACGAAAATAGTAAGAGTATTCATGAAATTTCTTTAGCAGCAATTATAAAGGTATTTATTAAACGGTAACAAGAGATTATAGATTCTTTATTCAAAATATAACATTATAGGTAATTCGTCTCTCAAAACCTATAAGAGTCGTCTCTCAAATTCAATCCATGTTGGATCAACTTTACGTAGAAATGGACCGTCTTTCAAATTTATGCTGTCTTCACATAGCTCTAATAGGCACAGGGATCCAAACGCCACATAATAAAACCATACAAAAGGCATCGGAGAGGTTAGTGAAAGATATTACCGATTTACAAAAAGTACGATTAAAAGATATAGAACGGCTATTAAATGTATTATCTATGTTCTATTTTGACCCCAAAACGGAGCCAGATATCTTTAAGGTTGCTCATGCAGAGTTACATAGAGAAGAGAGACTAGCAGAGTTAGTACAATATCCGAGGTGCTTGGCTTGCGCTCTAAATTATCTTAGTATAAAAAACATTTATTCCTATGAGTTTATGAATAAGGTTTTAGACTTGGAATACATAAACGACACTTACGGTAATTGTTTATTGTTAATATTATGTACGTCGTAAACAAAAAAAATAAAATTTTTAGGTAAAGGAGCTAGATGTCTACCAAGAGAGCTGTTATTGTTGGATGCTTCCGTAGATATAGAATGTCCAGATTATAAAGGAAATCGGCTGCCACCAGAACTCAGACGAAAAGCTACAAAGTGGGTCATTGAATATATTCCCAGTAACGATCAACCTAAGAAAATTACAGCCGCCGATCAATTATTTTTAGATGTGATCGATACAGTTAAAGATATTGTTAAAAATGATAGTGCTATTAAAATTGAACACATCATGCCACATTTCTCCAGAGCAGGTGATATAAATCATTCTTATAAATTATGTTTATACACTAGTTGCTTAGTTAAAACACATTCTTTTATTCTTACAGATATCATCTTGTGTAGAGAAAAAAAATCGGGTAAATTTGTGCCCCCATGTGGCTTTGAAAGTTATGTATTAGGTGACGTCATGTTTCCCTATAAAAATGAATCGTTGGAGTGGTATGCTATCTCTATTTTGGGTTGGAATAACACGATTCGGGATAGCACTCTACCGCTTGGGAATATGATAATGAAGAAGAGACAGCTTGAAAAAATGGGTTACGTGTCTATTTTTGTGAGTTTGTATTTTTAATTCTTTTCAATACGTTTCATATTATGTACTTTGTAGGTGATTTGGAGTGAATTTTTAAGTTTGCCCAAGGAAAGTCGAGTAGAATATATTGTAAGAAATTTTGTTTAATAAAAAATCGTAATTTATAGTTTTTATTATAATTTTCCCAAATTTTAAGCAATTTGATCCCAGGAGCTTATTTCATTGTTTGTAGAAAAACATCAAGTCATCTTAGCCTGTCATTTTGTTTATTGCAAACAAAGTTTCATTTTAGTATTTTTTCTTTCAAAAATCTTTTAAAATGGACAAAACCCGTGATAAAGTGTTTCGCCGTAAAGGTAAGTCGTGTTACTTTTTCAATATTCGTTTACTAAACAACTAAATATGTTGTAACACTATTATCATAATTATATTGAATGTTTAAAGTAAATTCATTCGTGTCGCCGCACATTTTGATGAATTAACGGGAACCGTGTATTTTTTAAGTGACATTTTCAGATAGCGTAACGAAAATACATAAGGTTTATGAAAACGGACGGAAGGAATCGTCCCGTCCTAGGAGTAGAAGTGTTTTTACCAGTTCCCTTGCCAGTGATGATCTTCAAACTAGAGATATAATCCGTTATGAGGGGCAAAACCAGAGGCCCCCCTATGTTCCCAAGCCGATTACAGTGAAAAACTATGCCGACGATTTTACTGTAAGCAAATTGTCAAAAAGTTATATTTTTTTATTATAAAATCCCTTTTCCTTAAATCTGATGGAAATTGCATAAGTTTAATTAAAACTATTTTTAAATAATTTTTTAGAAGAATTTTTGTTAGAAAATATACATTAATGTGCAATTTCAAATGTCAAAAAATGCTAGTTGAAGAGCAATACAGTATTTAATGTAGGATTTTTTTTTTAAACAAAACAATATGTTTCACCAGAGGCTTTGACTCTTATACAGGGGTTGCCTTTTATATTTCGGGAATAGACGATCCTGGTGTTGCTATCTGACAACTGATGTCCCTGTTGTAACGTTCTACTTTTTGCTGGTATACTTACTCAGAACGTTTTGACGTACAGGCGCTATTTGTGTTGTTTAGTGTCTTGAAAAGTACGTATCGGCGAAAAAATTGAAGTAAGTCGTAAACTTTCGATGTAGATTATCTCAATAACAGTGCATCGATAAACTTAATTCGACTTTTGGCGATGAGACACCATCAAAAACTACTGTATACTGTGATATACAGAATTCCAACGTGGCCATAGATCGCTTACTGACGAATTTCATGAAGGTCGTCCAAAATCGGTTGTTCCAGAAAACATTGATGCTGAACTAATATTGCAAGATCGTCATGTTACTTATCGTGAGATTGAGGCATCCTTGGCCATTAGTAGGACCAGCATACATTCAGTATTGCATGAATATTTAATGACCAAAAAAAATTTTTTTGCGTTGGATCCCGTAATTTGACAAATGCCTAAAAAAAAGCTTGTGTTGATTGGTAAAAAAAAATGCTTATGAAATACGATTGTGGTGCTTCAAAAACGTCTATGACATTGTAACAGGTCACAAATCATGGATCTATGTGTAAGAACCCAAAAGTAAACAACAATCGACTGTACGGGTCTTTCAAAATAAGCCAAATCCTACAAAAGTTGTTCACTTCTAAGCAAACAGTTGCCTGATTTTTCGAAAAAATCGCACAAATGGTAAATATACCACAAGTGCAACTTCTGAATGGTACATAACCATTTGCCAGAAGCCTTCGGGAAAATAAAAGAAATCAACCGCCAAAGATGCATTATTCTCCACCAGGACAATGCGAGCTCTTACCCATTGGATCAAACAAGAAACTTTTTGAGAATTGAGATAGTCGAAGTTATGAGTCATCCGCCATATGGCCCTGATTTGGCACCCAATGACTTTTTTTTATTCCCGCACATCAAAATTAAATTACATTAATTTTTTCGATGCTTGAAGAAGCGGTTGGTGCGTTCAAAATACTCGTTTTGGAAGTACCTTAATCGGAATGGAAAAAATGCTTCGAATATTGGTTCAAGCGTATGTAGAAGTATCTTCAAAGATAATATTTTCAAAAAAAAAAAGATTAATTTCTTTTTTTGTTCTCTATTCACGAAATATATGAAACGCAACCCTTGTATTTCATTTATTAATTATATTTCGTACATAAAAAAACCAAGTATCAAATTATGTAACAATTTATGATTTTTGGAAGTTGTGGACAAAACTAATTTGAAACATCAGATATTGGTGACTATTTGATCACTTTTCTATCACGTAGGACCTATACAGTGACGATGGGTATACAGGCGGTACAACCATATCCCAACACGGCGTGATAACTATGCGTCTCCGTGAGTACATCAGGGTCGACATATCCCTAGATCGAGCCATTCGGATTTCGAATGCAAAGAATGGCATCATATTGGCATTAAGTGCCAGTGGAAGCTCATCTGGGTTGATCCACCCCAACGGAAGGGTGTACCAATACGGTTCCAGGGTGGAAATCATGGCGAACGATGGCCAAGGCAACGACAAGTAAGCAATTTAATAAGATGACGTTGCTGTCAGAAAGTAAATTATTCTTGATTGAGGGCGACAAACCAAAAATTTGAATTTAGATTGTCCTAATAAGAAAAAAATCTTGTGAATGTTCGAAAATAATTTACTTTCTACTGTCTGTTATTTTGAACAAACGAATTTCTGGCCAATCAATTTGAAACAACCTTGTAGGGAACACTATAATGTTCTTAATTTCAGATTTGCAAAAATGTGGTACAAAGGCGTGAGTTTCACCAGCATACAGTGTGCCTTGGTTTACTTAGTCGATTCCGCCGGTACACGCACGACAACCGACTCTTTCAACGACCTCACCCACGATTTTACCCTGAACATTTTCTACGAGTAAGTTGTAGCAAATTCCTAACAAATTAAATTGAAATAAACGACGTTTACCTGTATTTTTTGTAGAGATTCGCCGTATTCTTACCTGGACAACCCATCACCTACACACACAACCCATTTAGTAAACGAAGCCATGGCCGTGCTACAAGCAACCAATTGCTGGATGACGGAAGACGGCACGACCAACTGGATCATCAACAACGTCAGAATCTCTCAAACCGCTGACGGCTTGGTTCGGTAAGTAGTAATATTGGGGTAGATTCGATAATCTGAATTAATTGAAACGAGCCTGATCCAGATTGCCATAAGTACAGTTGGCATTACGATATTCGAATTCCTTGGTTCGCGAGACATCGGATTAAAGAAAAAGATCAAAATTGGTCCATTAGAAGCCGAGATAATGCAATTTTTTTCGTACCTTTGCATTTTGAACCTCCGAATTCAGTCTCGGAGCAAAAGCCCCCCTCCCCCACTTTTCATGTTTTGAGTCACTTTTCGCGCGTGCCAGCGACAGCTTTTCCGCTGATTTATCTATGTAGCCGATAGCTTATGGATATGAAAATTTTTTCCAGCTTAGAACTCGGAAAAATAAAGCCACTGGATAAAAAATTATTGCTAAATTGTTTTTCAATTAACGGTAAATGTAGATAGACTTTGATCGCTTATATCTCGAGAATCAATAAAGGAAATTTAACTTTTTTTTAAAGGACCGTCATTCCGAGTACTTTAAGATTATAATTTTTTAAAAAAACTAAATTGCAAATTGATAAATGTAATCTAATTGTTTAAAAATAAAAAAAAATAACTTTAAAAATTTACTGCGGCCGTCCTAATCAATCAATCTCAATTTTTCAAAAAACATTTGAAAGGTTGTGTGGTCTTTTCTATGTGAAAAAATTTTCAAGTATCTAGATGCTTTATTTGAGGCTGTGCAACATTTTAAAATTTCACAAATTTTTATTAAAAAAATTATTTTGCGAAAACTATTAAAGTGATTTGAATGAAATTTGGTGTGTTGTTTTATTATACTATAAAGTTTTTTTTACCAAAATTAGAAAGCCCTCGGAACAATTAAAACATTTTAAAAAAATTATCCAAAAAACTTGATTATTTTGCCTTTTTTTCATCAATTATTGCTATTTTGCAACATCGGTAATAAAATTAAAAAATTTTAAATTACAGTATATTGTGCAAAATTCTATTCTAAAACTTTTTTCCTCTTCAATATTCTTCCAAAATGCATAGATATAAGTAACAAACTCAAATAAAGTAGGTATTTTTTTAAATTTTTTAAACATTTTTGCAATTTTGAAAATATTCCGGACCTCGCCCAGATCTAGGGATCTACACTTTTATTATGTGAATTGTACTTAAGGTATTCCAGTAAAAATTAGCTTGCCCCCTCTTACATCCAAAAAGTGGGATATTTCGACAGATGAAGAGTAAAAATGGACTTATCAGAAAAAAAACATTTTCTAGTCGGATAACATTGTTATGTAACTTGCATCATTTGTTCACAAAAATGTTTTTCTGTAAAAATGATCCTCATTAAGCTTCTTGGGACAAGTTTATTTTCTAATACTATGCGAATAATTGAATAAATGAGAATCATTCAATGCCGAGTCTGCTTATCAACTCAAACAGTAGTTCTAATTTGATCCTGTTACACATTGAATCCGAATCTTCTTTTTTTATGTTGTACATGTCCATTTTCACGAGACTGTTTTTCAATTTTGCTACTTTGGAACATAGACAGCGAATCAGGAAATTCTCTCTATCTCCGTAACCAACCATCTGTATAATTTCTATTAAATAAACTATGCTTAGGAATCGCAGTTAGCAAAACTCAAACAATAAGCAAAATACCGGCAACTATTTGTTGCTGTCAATTAAACAGAAGTCGCTACAGCGTTTTCAATAAAACTGGCAGTTTAGTCGATAATGTTGAAAGAGAACACTGAAAATTTTTTTTGCCAGCCTGCAACAACAAAACGCTGCAAGTTTTTATGTTTTTGTTTGTTGAAACGAATTTCGTCAAGCAGATTCTACTTCCCATATGAAAATTTAGGGATTGCAAGTGCCACTTTTTATAAATATGCATAATAAGGCACTAAATTTATTCCATTTAGCTGTTCCACACTGTATACTTCGTGTTAAACGTACAATTTTATTGCTTCTGTATCTATGTTTATGAATTTAAAGCTAGAACCGCATGTGGAATGTTTTTTTGTGTATATTATTTTCCGTCATAGAATAGAATAGAAAAAAATATACAGGGTGTTTCATAAAAAACGCAGAATCGATTTTTTTATAAATCTGAACAAATACAACTCAGATTATCGAAACTCCGAATCTGGATTATCGAGTACATTACTTTGCTGTCCTTGCTGCATGTTTAAACAAAACCAAAAATTTATTGTGTCCGTATTGTAGAGTTGGAAGGAACAGCAATAAATTCTCTCTCCGAACATCCCCGACCAACGGATCCGCATCGGTATCGTCACCTTACATGCACTGCACCGGTTCGATGGGCCAAACCCGTCACCTGTTCGTGAGGCGAGGGGAACGCCGCATGCACTACGACGGCTCGACATTCATCGTCCGCAACGCCGGCCATTCGGCCGGGTTCGACGAGAAACACCAGCTGAAAGTTTACTAATCGCTGTATGCACGTATCGTAATTGGACGGGATTATTTGTTAATTTTTGAGTCGGATTTGGCGTACCAAGTCATAGGTTTGCATATTTTTTTTTTATTCATTGAAGGGTTGGTGCATCTTAAAGTGCCCCATTTGCGTGTTAAATTTTGTTTGTCTTTTGTTGTTCTCTTTTGCTTCCTAGCGGATTATCAAAATTTGCGTGACTGTCGCGACGATTTACAAGAAGTGTATCTTTTCCAAAAGTGTGAGTCCCATTTTAACATCAATCTTTTTAACTAATTTTAAACTTTAATGTGTGGTCGTGTAGTAATCACCTTTTTAATTTTACATGTAGTGAAATAACGGCTATAAGTTAGAGAGTGTTGCCTCCATCTGACTGTGATAATCAAAGAGTGAAAAGTGGAAAACGAACAATTGTATCAACATGCGTAAATAAAGTGATGAAAATTTCTTATGTATTTTATTTCGGCCGAAGTAGTCAAATTATTCCTTAACCTTTAGAGGGCCGGCATTTTTCCCTTGAAATTCAATTTTTAGAGGTATGATCTATTTATACAAGGCGTTTAGAACTTAAAATGTAATAGGAATATACCATAAATAGCGCCCTCTATGAAATACCCCGAAATACCAAATTTCATAAAAATATTTCGTACTGTTTGAAAATTTTTGTAAAAATTCTATTAAAAAATTTTTATTTTGTCGCTCTGTATCTTGAAAACAAGATGAGATAGACATAGGTCATAAGACAAAAAATTCTTATTTTTTGTCCTACTAACACCCCCTGTATTTATGGGAGGTCTTTCTGAAACTCCCTGTATAAATAGTCAACAGGTCCGGTGGAGCTTCAGAGTTGCCTACGGCTCCAAAGGGAGCCAGGACGGCCAATCATGGTACGACTAATATCGGAAATATTCAAATTTCATATTAGTGTATACAGGGTGTAACTTTAAGTAGCGGTCAAGTTTTTAAGGGTAATAGTACATGAATACGAATCTGAATTATTTTTTTTTAATCAAATGAATATATAACTAGTTTTTTAAAATGCACTTTAATACTTGTGTACGCTGCCACTGTAATATTCATGTATTACAAATACTTGAATTGTAGGCAATTTACAGTGCATGTGAAGGGAGATAGTGTCGGTCAACGGTGATGAAGCGAAGGGCCTCAGTTGTTGTTCCGCATTTTGAGAGTACATCTAACTATGAATTTGAATGTTTTATCGCTGGAAGCCAACAACAAACTATTTATTTTTGTGTATTTCATTTATCATTCACTATTGATTAGTGTTTTTTACTAGGTTACTTGTTAAGTACTGTTTTTGTGGCAAACACCCACTCAACAGAAGTAACTTGTGGCGAATGGTGTGTAGCTGTTGATGCACTGTGATTAAAGCGGGCCTCTATTTGACGTTATACTAGCTTCTCCAGCGGCGGAGTATGAAGATTACTAAAAAAAAGCTTTAAAAAAAAGTTTTTACAACAGAATTTGAAAAAATAAACTACATATTGATATGTGTAATATTACCCCCAATCACCCTGTATATGTTTTTTTCAAATCAAGAATCACAATTTTCATATAAGATCATCATTTTGCCAAAACGGCCTCTTTTGAGGTGAGGTGAGGTTGAAACTCACTGCAATTTTAGACACTGAGCATATATCTGAAAAAAACGATATCTTATTTGGAAAGGAAACATTTTCTTTTTGAGCGCACCTACCAAGTATGTGTCGAAAAGTGAATTCTTTTATAGTCATACAAGAGATTTGGGGTGATTCACCTCAAAAATGACGATGAAAAGAAGAAATAAAATTTGAAACTAGGTACCTACTTTCAAAAATTCTGAAGAGATTCAGGTAGGTATATTCTCTAACAAAAAAGAGATATGATTCACATTTACGTTTTCTCGATTTAAATTGTATTTCTCTAGTAAAAAAAAAATAAAGATGTAGAAATAAAAATGAAAAACTACTATTTTAGAGTGACATTTTTATTTTTCCCCTTCTTAAGTTTACCACCAGCCCCAGAATTTGCCGTCACAAAATATTTAAATTACGAGCCAAGTTATTTTGCAAATTTTTAGCACCGAATCACTTATTTCTTATGGATTTTTCTGATTTGAAGCAACATTCTGTGAACCACACAAATATAAGATGGAAAAGTAAATGTGGTTTTATTTTAAAACCAGCAGGGTAAATCTCAGGGTAATTTTTGAAAATTTTCCATATTCTATATTTAGACGCCATTATCTCGAAAACGGTTAAAGATAGGTATGGGGATGTTACATAAAAATGATCAGAATTCCATAGAGAATTGAATAAAAATACAAAAAAATGGGGTTTCCATTTAAAAAAGTTGGCCTTGATTTCATAACTTTTTTTTGGGCCACCCTGTATAAATGAAAATTGCTTCAGAAAATGTGCAACTAAAAATATAATTCGACGGGTCCGAGCGATTTTTCAAATAACGAACATCTGATTTTTAAATAAATATATTCCATACTTTTGCCGCTCACTGTATATTTAAAAACAGGAATCAATAGGTTTTTTTAATAGCTACAACTTTCTGATTTAACTTTTTTCGATTGGAGTTCAAGTTTTTTCTTATTAAAACTGTGCAGTCATTAGTTACTGAGACATCGATGATCAAAGACAAAAAGATCCTATTTCATTTAAGGCCGGATATCTTAACAAAAAATTTATGTGCAGAGACAAAAAAAAATCAAGACAAAGCTGAATAATTAAGCTAACCTATGCATCAGTCTAAGTGAAAAAAAATTCCTGAGCCGTGGACGCTTAAAAATAAATTTGAAAATTTTGAAAATTTTTTTCTCACGCTATTTCCTATGACTGGCAATAACTGGAGCTCAAAAAATTTTTTTGTCGAAAGATCTTGAAACTAGAGACTTGAAGCCTCAAACTGCTTTTTTTTAAATCTCGATACAATTTTTCACCGAGATACACCCTGTCAAAAATTTCAGATTTTTTGCTGTTCCCTTAATTTTTTCCTGTAGTGTATTTTATCAAAAATTCTGTTAAAGGGAAGATAATAACAGTTCCCAAATTGATAAAATTTAAAACCTTGATTTTGTCTATTATTTATTGCTATAATTATTTATCCAGACAAAACCAGAATAAAACTAAATTTATATCCAGATATCGTTCATTGCGTAAACAATGACAAGATTAATATATATTTTTTTACTGTATTTAAAAATGTTTCTGCTGTTATAATAAACATTTGATAGGGTCTCGAATATAAAATATGGAAGAAATTTTTAGAATTGCTGTCATATCACGAGGAATTATTTACTATATATTTTTTTAATGATTAATATAATTATAAATATTTATATAAACAACCCGGTCGAAGGCCAATAAAATTCAGTAATTATGTGGTTTCAAAATTAGTCCATTAAATTTAGGAAAATCGGGCAGTTCACAGTTTTTGCAAAAATGTACATCAGCCATGGGGCATGCAGCATTTTTTTGTGCTCCATACGGTTATTTTTCATTGAAGAATGGAAGGTAAGTGCATACATTTTTTTGTTTGATGAAAGTAATAAAAAAACCACTTATATCTTTAAATGTAATGTTTCTAAACACATATTAGTAGATTTATGTAAAAAAGGTGGCATGTGTTATTGCTGCAAACTGCAATGGAATTGCATAACCCAAAGCCAGAGTGCATACAGAATTTTAAATTTCTAGGTCACAGCAGTTGGACTTCATAAACTTTTAAAGGTCGCGACAATCATTTAATTCATTCATGCCTCTTTTCAGCTTCTTTTCTTATCTAATAATCAAGAATAAATAATTTAATCCCTGATACCACCCAATGACGCTGTATGCCAACCATATCATATTTTTTTATTGACATTTAACAATGCAACATGAATTTCAATTATGTGTATATTATGATTAAATGAACCAGCAGATTTTGTGGATTGGTGAAAGTTGGGTATATTCAAATTTGTGGCAAGTGAATTGACAACCGTTTCCAATACACATAAACAGTAAGATTAATAGCTTCTGATAAGATAAATTTTGCCAATTAAAATATGTGTCTTGCACAAAGTCTGCTCATCACGTGCTGTGAGCACATGAACCTATTTATACACAAACTGGTGTTTATGTTTCAAGAAAACGTTTATCAGTACAGCGAAACAAAATTAAAAAAATTCAAATATGATATTGTATGAAATTATTTATTTGTGGCACAATTTTACTTTTTTTTCTCTGTTTATTGGGGCATTTTATTTAATGATATTAAACTTTGCTCAAAAAGGAGACAAGAGCATTTTATAAATTTTTTACATATTTTGTTACGTGACAAACTACTCAAACAAAGAAAAAAACCAAGTATGCAGACATCCGTTGTAAAAGTACACACCTGGTACCTAATTATTGTCTAATTATGCCTAATAATTATCTGATACATTTCGATTTCCCTTATCATTTCAAATATTTTAACGATTATATTATTATCTAGCATTTTCACTTGTTCAAACGTTACATATCTTTTTTGAAATCAGCAGAAACATTTTCCGAATAACTTCAATGCTTAGTGGTACGTTTATTTCCCTATTAAAAACAAAACAATAGCAAACATTTGATTTAGTAAAAAAACATTTAATTTTCAGTAGACTATAAATTTATTTATAAAGTTTAAAGTCAAATGTTGTGTAATTGTATTAGTTATCAAAAAATTGCCATAAAAAAGTTGTAGTTTGCGAAATATGCAATATTATTTTCTGATTGACAGCTTAATCCTTGTATTTGTTTGTAAACATACATTTACTTACTTAATTCAAAAAGATATATTATATCTTAAAGGGGGCAAGGTGGGTCAAAGGAAACATTAAAAAAATTTTATAATAAAGTTTGTTTAATAACAATTTTATATGATTTTTAGGCTTTGACAGCAAATTCCACATCGCAAATTAAAAAAAACCTTCTGTAATGTCTCGTTTTCAAGATATGCATAGCCTTCATAATGATTACCAGCCACGTGACCAATAATTTTATTTTATTTGCGTTGGTAATTAAATTTCGGTAAAATAAAAAATTAAAATACAAAATTCTGGAAACGTTCAAAAAATTTTATAATAAAGTTTGTTTAATAACAACTTTATATGATTTTTAGGCTTTGACAGCAAATGCCACATCGCAAATTAAAAAAAACCTGTAATGTCTCGTTTTCAATAGCCTTCATAATTATTACAAGCCACATGACCAGTAATTTTATTTTCTTCACGTTAGCAATTAAACTTCGGTAAAATAGAAAACTAAAATACAAAATTCTGTTTCACCGGCTGAAGATGGTTTAATTTTTCACAAGATTTTATTCAACGAATCAGCCATGGCATTATCTCGAGTGTAAACGCAGCGGTTAGTCATTGTTCATTGTAAACGAATGAATAAAATTGATGACACCAAGATTTAGGGAATTTTCATTGCCAGTACTAATCGTACAATGTTGGATTGCCTATGCTCAGTGGTCATGTGGGTTGTAATCACTCAAGAAGGCAGGGCATACACGGGAGTAGTTTTGGAAGCGAAATAAGTAAATTTCACGTGTTAATATTTTTCTCTCTCAAGATATTTCAATTTAGACTCAACTATTATGAAAGAGCACTCAAGGTTTTACAAAAGTGTGTTCTTGCTGCTTGTCATTTCCAGAAAAATGTCAAAATCTCGTATCATTAATAAACGTGTGACAGGAAGTTATTTTTGAGACAAATATATAATAATTATAATAATAATAATAATGATAATAAAAAATTATATCTCATATCGCTCATTCTAATCGCAAGGATTATAATAAAAAATTAATAAAATTAAATATTATTTCTGTCTTCATATGTGTTTTTTTGCAGTTTGATAAACTATATCCTTTCGTTAATTTTTAATACCTTGAATCTTGAAAACGCAACGTTTCTAGACAAAATTTTCAAAGGATTTTTTTTTTTATTAATTCGAGACAAAGTTTGGTCAACCATATTAATCGTATCCCTTATATCCCTTTGCCATATTTTCTAATTAATTTTTGATGGTTTCCGACCAACGTATAATAACTTTTAGGGGGCCTTTTTACAACAATTTATTGTTGGGCAATCGAAACTTACGCTTGCTTACAAACTGCACCTTTTCAGATAAACATGGCAAAGCAAATCATGCACCGACTAATGAACTTTATGAAGTACTTCGTTAATAATGTGTCAAGGTTACACACATTAAAACTACCTACGATAATTCCCAGACAGACCTTCACTTTTGCCAGCTTTGCAATTTTTTTACACCGGTTACCGCGGATTATAAATAAATTACTATTTTTATGTTTCGCTGGTAATTCACAAGCGCAATTATTTTAATTATGTATGACATTTATATACCTGTGAAGTCAGTGATACTATTTATCATGCACGATAGCTTGTATTCTGAAAATTTGCACTATACTTTTTAAAAACTAGTTTGTCATATAACTCATTGATCAGGTTTCTGTTCACATCTCCCCCATTTATCGGTTTATACGGGAGATAAAAACCCATATGCATCTTGATTAAAATTGTTGAATAAATATGCATATATATTATGACTGTAGATGATCAGAAGGATTAGAACAACTCTGCTTGCCATGACGGTAGTGACTATCATTTTTCTTACGATAACCATACTGGTTAGCATACAAGCTAAACCTCTAGAGGGCAGACAATTAGAATTGCTCCATGTGGTAAGTTATTTTATTTTCCTAGTATAAGTCAATTATTTGTACAAATTTTGGCGTTTTCTTCAGAAATACCCATTTTAATAAATTTTAATGTATATTGAGATTAAAACCAACAGTTTAATTGATCTAGATATACCATTTCATTCAAGAGTAATTAAATCATACAAATTAAATAATTTTGAATATTATTTTTTTTTTATAACAGGAATTATGGAATTTGTAATTGAAAAACTGTAATAGCGATTAGATCAATACATTATGTCTTTTCTTATCAATATTCTACAAGGTGTCCCATTTTAATGTACCCAGGCTGCATAATTTTTTTAATTCGACCTTTCTAAAAAAATATTTTGAACAAAAGCTATCAGATCTCGAGGGGATCAAATTATGGTGACCTTGAAGTCAATTATCTAGGTCACTTCAAGGTCAACCTTGATTCTTTAAATGGAAACTCATATTTTCATTAGCTTCGTATTCTGCATGAAAATATACGTCATTTTTATATGAAACATTTTTCTTGAAAAGGCTTCCTATAATAAAAATATGGGTCTCCATTTGAAAAATCAAGATTTCCCTTGAAATGATCTTGATAATTGACATTAAGGATAATTTCAAGGTTACGGTAATTTGATCCCTCCAAAACTTGACAACTTTTGTCGGAAATATTTTTCACAATCCTGCTTATTTCTTGAGATATTGAGAATTAGAACGGAACAGTAAAAATATAGTGCACTGTCGAGTGAACGAAACCTTTTCAAAAAAATATTTCATATAAAAGTTACGTATTTTTCCCCGCAGAATACGAATCTGCATTAAAAAATATGGGTTTCCATTTAAAAAATCAAGGTTGACCTTAAAATGCCCTTGACAATTGACTTCAAGGTGAAATGAAGGTCACGATAATTTGACCCCCTCCAATCCAGATACTTGTTCAAAATATTTGTTTATAAAAGTCCAATTAAAAAAATTATGTGGCCTGGTACATTAAAATGGGACACCTTGTACATCAGTACTGACACCAACACAAAATTTGTTACTGAAAATATAATTTTAGGTGATGCGACACGGAATAAGGACCCCCGCTAGTACATACCCAAATGATCCTTATGTAAATCATACTTTTTATCCGGTAGGATGGGGGCAACTTACAAATGTAAGTACATAGCTATGATCCTTTACTACATATTTGAAAACAACAATTAATGTGGAAAATTTATTAATTTAAAAGCTAGAATATACAGTGCATTTAAAAAATTCAGCAATTTTAAAGATACGAAGCCAATTATATTATGAAAGTTATTGTAATTTCTCTATTTAGAATGCATTAAATGAAGAAAAAAATTGTATATTACGTGTGATATTTGTCCAAATAACACTTTTTTAATGTTTTTTTTTTAGATTTGCTACTTTTAGAGTCTATATCTAAAAACTGATATCAAAAAAAATTTGATTTTGATAAGATTAACAAATTTAAATTAGTGTAATACGAGTAGACAGTTTTATATTAGAAAAGACTAGGAACAAAAAAACATATGTTGATTTTTTGCAACCTACATTTTATTTCTCTCTCCTAATTTGCATAGATTTGCATTTTATCGAAAAGTAATATACTGGACAAAAAGTAGGTCATGCAACTGTATTCTTCATTATCTGAAATGCAAATTATTAAAAAAATACAGTTAGACTACCCAGCATTTGTTGGTACTAAAATATGTGCCTCACTTTGAACTCAATTCCAGGAAGGAAAGGTTCAACTCTACGACATAGGCAAATTTCTTAGGGAAAGATACGGAGATTTTCTAGGAAACCACTATTCGCCCGATCTTTACTACACGCAATCTACAGATGTAGATCGGACAAAAGCTAGTATGCAATTGGTAAATGCCGGTCTATGGCCTCCGGAAGAGACGCAGAAATGGGGCCCGATAGATTGGCAACCGATCCCTATTTATTCCGAACCATTGGATCAGGACATGGTAATTAAAAATATATTATCACAATATTGTCACACTTAGAAACCTTTGTGATTTCATATTTAAAGAAATCTACAGGGTGTCCCTAAGTTAATGCAACAAAATTTGGTCACAGATTCTTAAGACAAATTTAGGGGACCCGTATTTTTTATTTTTGTCAAGTGGCCCCCTCTTTTGTCTCGAATGCATATCGTGATTCGCCATTTTCCTCAAAAACATTGCTGCGTTTTACGAAAAAAATATCGAGAGCTAAAAATTTTCTAAATTCAATGGCTTTAACTAATAATTTTTAAAAAATTCAAATTTGTGACCAAATTTTCTTGGTTCCAAAGACAAGGGGCCCATGAAAAAGTGTCTTACGGGGATTCCCCGCCAAAAAGCGTAGCATTATCAGATTCCACATGTCATAAAATCCCTGTGTACCAATTTTAGTGATTCTCGTACAACAGGATTCTAAGATATAAAAAAGACTATTCTTAGGGGCAGATTTAAGGGTACTGTAACTCCGAAAGAAGGGGTCACTTGGCAAAAAATGTGGGTCCCCTAAATTTGTCTTAACCACCTTGTATATATAAATGGAATATTTCAATAAGAGAATTGTTTTTTATTCACATCTCATGATTTTATTTTAGTTATTACTGGTGAGGAAGCCATGTGCTCAGTATCACATTGAAAGAGACAAAGTAATAAATTCGGAAGAAGTAAAAAATCTGTTTAAGTACTACGAACCTCTCTTTAAAGAACTGACAGAAGTCACGGGGCAAAATGTCACAGATTTTGATGGTGTGCAAGATGTCTTCAGTACACTTCAAGCTGAGGTAATTTATGAGGTTTTTTTTTGTAGAATATAAACTGTTGTTCTGTCAAGCGTAAACCGTCTTGTTGAGAATTTTATTGCTATGTCAATTCAGAATTTTGATACTTTCATTTGTTTTTGGGTTTTTTTTTTTTGATATTTGGCATAATTTTTTCTAGTGAATCTACTGGGTGTTTCAGAGTTGAAGTGACAAAAGCCTAGGGGAGATTCTGTTCAGCAAAATATGTAAAAAAGTTCATCTGAATATGGGTCCACAAGTGCTTCGTTTCCGAGATACAGGGTGTTAGTTTTTTCGTTTTTTACTTAAAAATTGAGTATTAAAAAAAACACTAACCGATTTGAATGAAATTTTTACGGTTTCTTAAAAGAATTATCATACATTAACTGGACAAATTAGATTTGATGTAGTTTTTTTTTTTGTAGAAAAGAATTAATAAAATAAAAACGAAGTGAGACTCTAAAAAGATTCAAGGAGTCAATTGACACAAATGTACTATTTTTAGTGGGTTTATCTGAATAATACATAAAAACCGCAAAAAAACCTTGCTCGCTGGATACGCCCATGAAAATTCTGGATCAAATCTAATTGGTCCAATTGATGTATGATAATTGTTTTAATAAACCGTAAAAATTTCAATCAAATCGGCTAGAGCGTTTTTTTAGAAAACTCAATTTTTTTTTTAAATTAACACCCTGTATCTCGGAAACAAAGCACTTGTGGACCCATGTGCATACGGACTTTTTTACATATTTTTCTGAGCGGAATCTCCCCTAGGCTTTTGTCACTTCAACTCTGAAACACCTGGTATAGTTACGAAGTTATAAAGCAAACATAAATATTTTTGGAGTGGTGCCATCTAGTGTTGTCATTGTGTTTGGCAGTTGTTTAACTATAGTATTATAAAAATAAGGCGAGTGGTGTTCTCTGTACATGAAAAACATTACCCCCCCCCCCAAAGAAAGTCACATGAGGTTAGATCTGGTGAGTAAGATGGCCACTTCATTGAGCAATCCAGCAGTCGGGTAATTTTAAAATGTTTCTAGAAGAGTAATGAAATTTTGGATTTAACAATAATTGAACCATCTTGAATATCGAGCATAAGAACATGTCATGGGTTCTCCCTATTTCTAATAGTTCCTGAGATATCCCGGATCTACTGCTTTTTTTTTTTTTCAACATTTAGATGTGCTTGATGTCACTAATGTGGTTACTACATTTCAGGAAGCGTTCAATTTAACTTTGCCGGAATGGATCCAACAGTATTACCCCGACAGGATGCTGGAACCGACTACGTTTAGTTTCGTCCTAAATGCCTATAACGACAAGATGAATAGACTGAAAGGAGGTTAGTATAACCTTATGAGTCTTCAGACTACAAACAATACAGCTTTTAATGGACTTACAGGAGTCTTGTTGAAAAAACTACTAGAGGATTGGCGATCCAAGGCAGATGGCACGATATCACCATCGATTAGGAAAGCGTTTTTGTATGGAGGGCATGATTCTACTATAAGCAATATCATGAGTACCTTAAAAATATGGGATCCCCAAATTCCGGGTTATGGTGTTACGATATTGTTCGAGTTGTGGAAGGACTTGGCTACAGATAAGTATGGAGTTGAGGTATGTTTAAAATATTATAGTCAGACTACGAATCTGAAATTCTTGTTTTTTTAATCAAATACATAGTTGAGTTGCTAGACATATTAAATTAATCCAAAATAAACTAACAAAATTAAACCGTGAACAGTTTAAATTTAAGCAGAATTCCATCATGTTCTGAACACTTCCAAGATGCAACGAAGGTTAGCCACCACTGTTCCGTTAAAATGTCACCTTTGAAAGTGGATATACCAACGTCTGCACACCTGGTTGGTTATATTTTTAACCTAGTTTTCAACTTTATCGGTTTACAAGAGGGTGTTCGTAAAGTACCTTTGTGGGTTGCAAGCTTATAAAAGCTAAGCTAATTTATTTCAGTTCAGTTGTTTAGCTAGATTAGCTACCAAATTTCAAGTGCTGTGCTATAAAAATTATAATTGATTACTGCTTGTGTTTTCGCTAGATTACTCGTTAAGTAGTTTCATAGTTTATCTTATTTAAGACTTAAATTTTCGTTTTTGTGAGACGGCGGGACTAATGGCTAACACCCACGCAACAAAAGTAACACACCAAAAATCAGTACGGTTGGTGATCTGAAAATTTGCTTTTTAATTATTTTTTTGTTTAAATATGAGATTTGATAACAATGCCATAGCCCAGTTGTCAATTGTGCATGAGCTGCGACTAAAGCATGTCACAGCGCATATAGCTTTTACAGAATTTGAATACATGTTTCTAAGGTTCTGTATAAATATGACCCCCCACTCCACGTTAGACCCTGTGTGTTTGTAAAGAAGTAATTAAAACACACACACCAATTTTTTGTCATCAAACATAACTTGGGCAAATTCTTAATCAATTTATTGGATGCAAAAGTGTTACATCGCACGATTTTTTGCAGATATACCTTAGAAATTCTACGAGCGTGCCTCCACATAAAATGACTTTACCTGGCTGTGATACTTTTTGTCCCTTGGAAAAGTTAGTGACGCTAACGAAAGACGTAATTCCGGAAAAGTGGGAAGAAGAATGCAAAACGAGTGACGAGACTTATATCGTACCACCCTCATTGGGTCCCTAGGCATCGACCGTATGACACTTTTTCAAAAGATTTTCGAAATATATTCAAATCGGCACAGTCTGTGATAAAATTAAAAGGATGCAAATCTTGACGGATAGTCAAGTCATAAATTATGGAATATTTATAAATAAAATCTATAAAATGCTGTAGAAAACTATTTTTAATCCTTATTTATTTTTGTTGCGATTAATGTCCTACAGATTTACAGATAAGCGATTAGTCGCTACTATTGGCCGCAATTGGCACTGCCAACTTAACGACATAATAAAAGATGAATCGCCAATGAATATTCCTAATTCTGAAGCTTCAAGTATCGGAAACATGATAAAGTGAAGGTGTTACATTGTTATTCGGAGATATTAACAGTTTATACACCTTACGATTTATTACCACAAATAGTTTCAGTTATATTAGTTAAAAAATAAAAAAATTCTCATTAACTAAGCAAATTTTACTTATTAGATCATTACGGTATATACATAGTTATTAAAATAAATTAGATAAGATTAACCTAGTTACTTTAAACGAGAATGGTACAAAAACATTACTTTACAATGTAAAAATGAATCACAATGAACGTTTGACAATATTTAATCGGTCCAACGGGTACCAAATAATTTCAAAAGAAATAAAACAATATTTTCAAAGAACTGGGAACAGAATCAATAGCCTCGCTATAGAAGCACAATTTGTTACTGTGTTACATTAAAATATTAAATCATGTGAATTGCATATTTTAAGTGTAACCCACGAATTTGTGTACAGAAATTACAAAGCGGTACTGAAAATTCACAATGGGCCTGTGTATGATTCCTCAAAGTAATAAAATTAAAGAAACGTTTTAAATTGACAGTCCGTTATTGATCAGTACGAAAAATACTTAAATACCTTAGCAGTCCGCCGGAGCTTCCGAGGGTAAGGGTGACGTGAATAAAATGTGTGACCGGGTTTTGGCAAAATAAACGACAATAAACGAAAATATCATAGACATGGAACCGATCGCTATGGTCATTTTCTCGTGGGCCGCCGACGGCCTCAAAAACATCCTGGCTCCCATCTCCCACCAGACAGATTCCGTCCAAGAGCTGTACAAACCGGAGGACCAGTCATAATCTAAAAAAAAAAAAAGATTTCTGAGTGAGCAATGTCTTTCCCAACCTAAAAAAAACTGTCGCTCTTTAGTTTACAGAGATAAAAGGATACACTGGAAGCAATTAACAACCACGTAAGGGGCCGGAGAAAATAAGCTAATAACTGAATCACTCATTTAACTTATCTCTAATTACTGACCTTCTATCAAGAACGCCGGACTCTTAGCTTCCGTCAAATTCATCGTAACCTTGTAGCACAGCGTAACGTTCAATTCGTATATACTTTTCGACATATTGAAATAGTGGAATGCCTAAAAATTACGACGGATTAGCGCTATCATTACTCGAAAGTTCGAAGGGGCTCACATAATTTCTCGGTTTGTTTGTACAGTTGATATCTCCCTTGCCCTCTACGATCCCCGTAAACCAACCGAGGGTTAAGGAGGTGAGTGTTGTGGCATAATTCGACACTCGATCCACCCCCACATACAAGCTACTTGGCGTTTTGGATAGTTTCTGTAATGGTATCATATAGAATGTATACAACACGGGGCGCATCTCAGTACTTACAATTTTTTGAGTCGCTGTGTGTATTTTGCAGTTGGGATCTTCTAAGTAGCAATGAAACATTTCGTCAACCTAGAAATTGTCAATATATACATTTTTGTTACCATTATTACCACCTGTTAAGGCCAGTTAAGTGATATCGTGTTTACATACTATAAAATAGTATTTTTTTAGTTTGTATCTGCAGAAAATTATATTTGATATGTGGCAGAATTTTTATCACTGAATCTTAATATTCATTTACTTAGTTTTATAAAAACAAAAATTCAAAACCTACAGATTAGTAGCCTAATTCTACAAAAGAACCCATATAGCTCAGTTTCCGTCATAAAGTAGGAATATAAAACATACAGAGCAGTTCCACTAACATAAAAAGAATTCACAAGCAATTTTCACCGATCTTTCTAATATTTCCCACGAGGCTCCGCAGATGTTGAGATTGCCGCCAGAATCATCCTAGAGACATCTACAACAGTACAGACAAGCAATGTTTCAATAAATTCACCTGCCCAGCCACCCAGATGAGACGATTGCCACCAAGGGTCCTCGGTTCCCTCGGAAGATGACGACAACCAAAAATTTTCGTCCCACTTTCCAAAAAGTTGCGAAAATCGCAACATCTGCGCACCCATAAAAGACTTTAGGGTCGACATTAACAGAATCAGTTTCAAACCCAACTTCGAACCCGTCCGTATTCACCGAGGACACAGTTTTTCCGATTCTAAAATTTCTGGAAATAAACCGGATCATGTGTCAAGCCGCCTAACAAAATCCACCCGGCCAGTGTGCGAACGCCTACCCAGGTTTTCCGCAGTTTATTAACCAGAGCATGTATCCCTGGCCAGAGCGTGTACTCGACCGAACTTCAAAGATTTATATTTTATAGCAATCACCGCATTGCGTACACTGCATTATTATAAACATAAGTAAATAAATAAAGCTTGTGAATTTTTAAACCACATTTCGAGTTATAATTCTCCAAAAAGTTACCAAACCAAGATTCCATGCTGCAATTCGTACACAATTGTCACTCTGTCAGTTCATATAAAGCTTCTAAAGCTTAGCGTATGGGCACTCTAAAGAGGCCGTACACTATCAAACTCAAGTGCTTTAGCCAATACAAAGACAGTGATTTTCTGTTACACAAAAAATTTACAGTAATACAAACTTTTATTAAAATAAAGCGCAAGTGTTCACAGTGCTTCTTAGGCCTCCGAAGCAAAATTAGAATTCGCAATGGAGGAGCGAACATATCTGTGTCATCCCCTGATGTCCGTCATGGTGAACGTTAAAACGGAAACGTTAGAGATACTTGGGAACCCTCTCGTTAACGAGCAGGTGACTAGCGTTCCAGCACCTCAGATGAAAACAGACTCAGACAGAAACGCTCCATCCAGACCCATTATGAGAATTTATGACCCTTTAAACATGCTAAGAGGAGGTAGATCAACTCTATTGCAAGCTACTCAGCCTGAACAAAATCCGCGTCACGGCGCCCAACGTAGGGCTACAGCAGAAGATAGATAACTGACCTACCTAAAGCCGTGACAACATTTAACATAATGTGACATATATTTACAGGTTAAATCCCACCGACAGAGAAAATCATATCTAGCTTATAGATACTGAGAAAGAACGAAACATTTGAAAGCAGCCGTACTGAGAACAAGATTTAGAAATTTCCTTGTTATATTTTTGGGCCACCACTTATTCACTACTTTTGTGAACAGTGTCAGCTCTTAAACTTACAAAATGACAGAGTAATGAATTTTTAAAGACACGCTAAAAATTTTCCGATTATTCCGGATTTTCTTCGTTTCTAATTATCCAGTCAGATCGAACGACCTCGCGTTTTATTCGTATTTCGATTCTCTACAAATTGTCTCTATATCATTCAGATTTCTTTATTAGTTTAGGTTTTATAAGCAAAAAACTAAAAAAAGCGTTTTTTGCATAAAAATGTTTATAAAAAATTAATTAATGGTAAATTCGAGTGGGAAACATATAAGCATATCTACAGACTGTCACAGTCCGTTTGCTACTACTATTTCTGTCACAAAATCACTGATTTAATGCTCTATTAATTGACCTAATAAAAAAGATATTAAAGTTTAAAAAAGACAAAACCACCAAACAAAACAAACATAAAATATAAATTTTGATCAAAATAGCTTACCAAAACTGCATCAGTCGCCACTTCTCCAGAGTAAGTATTTCCTGTGATAGTTTCGTAGACGCTTTTTGCTACAATTTCCGATATATTAACAATAAACCGTTGGATACTGTCTTCTGGGATATTAACTTGACTTTCCGAATCGTAGTACTTGTACCCTATATTAGAAGCGTTATCATATACGGAATTATAGAAAAAGTTGGTGTAGCTTCTCTCGTGGTCTGCAATCACCAATCCGGGAAAATCTGAATTATTTCTCAAAAACGAGTGCAGCGAAGACGGCGGTAAACTCAAAGGTACATTTTGGAAATGTACGTAACTTCCGTTATAATTCAGTTTATTGTAAAAACTTTCTATCTGGAAAAAAAAGTTTTACTTACAAATTAACGAAAACTAATTTATTTACCTCTGTAGTTGGCTTTAAGTAGTGTACGAAAAGATCCCTGCTGTTACCCAACTGACTTAACTCGATAAACAAACTAATATTCTCAGGCCTTATTATAGGTAGTATATTATTATTGTCCTTTAAACCTTTAATCGGGAAGTTTCCTCTCTCCATATCGTATACCATCCTTTGAGATCCAATATAGTCAAATGTTTCTCCATTAAATAGTATGAAAAGAATATTTTTTTTGGCTGAAATACAAATTTACAATTATGAAAATATTAAAAATAAAACAAACGGTATAAAAAAATAATTTACCAGTTTGTATGTTTTCTTCGCTCAACATAGATTTCAATAGTTTTGCAGTGTACAATAACGTAACGATACCCGTCACTGGATTGTTGGCACCTGAGGTTTTTTCAAACATTGATGTAGTGTCCATACGGGTCGCAATAACGATATATTTGAAGTCCGTTATGGGTTTTGTTTCATTCCTCCTTGGACCTTTGACAAGGGGATATAACGTGGCCCATACGTTGTTGTCGCCTAATGGATCGCAGAATGTTATAGGGTTTAAGTTTGTTATGATGTTTGACCGTCTAAAATTACATACAGTATAAAATTTGTGCCATAAATAAATTCCTCTGTTACACCTACCGTCTGCAAGTCTGAGAGTTTGTTGTGGCATACATAAAGGATTTTAGTTCTAGTGAGCAAAGGGATCTGTCTTTGTGATTGTCATAATCAAAGTTATTGAACTTCTCGAAACACTTTCTCATTTTTTCAATTTCCTCTTCGCTTTCTACATAAAAAATTGGAAATGGAATATCTCTATATATTAAGCCAGTACCGTAAGGGTTCCAAGTTGAGTTTTTGCTACAAGTATTCTCTAAACTTGATTGAGGATTTGGGCATTGGTTCTCATGTGTGAAGCTGTTCAGTGTTTCGTTATTTGGATGCAGTATCAAGCCAGATATCTGTTGACTAGTTATTAATTTATCTACTGTTTCTATGGTTAAAAATCTTGTTGGAAGGACTGGTACATACGGACCGGATATTCCTTTGCTTAGAATAAAATTCAAGTCATCTAAATCTCTGCAATAGTGAATGACACCTGTAGAACCTCCCCTTTTAGCTAAAAAAGTATAAATAGAATTGAAATTGTAGGAAATAGATTGCAGATGGAATAAATGATAAAAAACCACAATCTCTTGTTTATTTAAATTATATCAGTGTTACATCTAAAATCTATAAGCAGAAACATTTTTGCCTGAATATGTTTAAGTTACTTGTAATAATAAAAAGAAACTTACATGTACATCCAATTTGATGAGTGGAATTTAATCGTCTATAACAACCTTTTGTACCAATAATGTTTTCATACATTTTATCTTTGGTTCTTTGACTATGTACTGAGAAATAAATTGAGTAATATTAACAAAGGAATTGCTTACATTTTTAGTTCTTACCTAGTCCCAGTAATAAGTGAACTATAATAAAATTTAATAGAAATCCATATTTTATATCCATGATTCACTTTATTTACTTAGTTACCTATATATCAATAAGTCTGAATCTCAAATTCTTGACTTTCAGCGTAATATTAAACTTGTATTTTTTAAAAATTATTACTATTTCCTTATTTGTCATTTACAAATATTAAATATAACTGAAGCAACTTTTATTTTACATTTTTCTCAATTTACGTACAATCTAAAGTACAACTAAAAAAACAAAGTTGACACTTGACAGTGACAGATCATTATTTAATCAAGATGACCAACATTGAGAAATGAGAAATCCCAGACGAGTCGTAAAGCCTCCCATAGATCAATTCTAGACCGCGCCATTATTCTATGGCTAGAAATTGGCCTCAATGATTTGGGATCGAGGGGGATTATCCCTCTTTATCCTGCCTCATCTCGTGTAGGCCTGGACAGCCTTCGTAGGTGGGCCCCATCCGTCGTCTACCCCGACCGCAAATGCGGCCGGTGTAGGCGCTTTGTGGGACCTCCTTTTGTCCTGGCTGGGCCCCGCCGGCTAGGGCCCTTTCTTCTGGCGCTCTTCTTGCTTCGCCGGCTCGTCTGTGTAAACCCCGGGGGTAGTGTCATGTTTATG